GATGTCCAGCCCTGTGACTGCTTCAGCAATCAGTGGTAGCTGATGCGTGGAGCACATTAGCATCATCTCCAGAGAGAGCCTGTTCTCTCCCACATGAGTCACAGATAAGATGCTACGATGACAGCAGAAGTCTGGGCAAGTGAAACATACGCCATTCTGGAGTGGCAGGAAAGCTCTAGTGACCCTTATGGACATTCGCAGCGAGAAGAGTAATCTTCTCACTGCTTCTTACAGTTGTCACCGGGAAAAAACAGTGCAGAAAGGTTGGATGGCAGCAGAGAGGCAGAGAAAGCAGGCAGAGAAAATCTGAAAATTAAAACAAACTCTTCTGTACCTTGCACAGATGGGAGGAAATTTCTCTGTAAAGTTCCCATCATCAGAGAAACCCCTTCTATGTAAAGAAGCAAATTTACCTAGGAGGGGGAGAGGAAATTCGGCAGAGGAGGGATAAAGTAAAATAAACAAAGTGTGGATCAAAGAGAAAAAAACAGAAGGTAAAAAGTGGAATAGCACTGATGGGGGAAGCTAGGTGAGAGACACGGAGGAACTGTTAACTGCTCGAATAAACATTTTATTGCATTGGAACATAAATTTTAAGCACTTTAAACACCGGGGTGACCACTAAGTAACTTCCTTTGCAAGGAGCAGATTTGTGACTAACACCACAAGATTCAGCAATGCCCAATTTTCACTTCGAGCAGATGCGCTGCAATTACCAGGTGCAGATAAGGTGACAATATTTGGTCAATGAGTTTTGAGGTCACCAGTAATGCCCGTGGTGGAACAAAAACACAGAACATAAGGCATTTCATGTGCTGAAACTGTCAGGCTCATAATTAACTGATTAGAGTACATATGGTGCTCACAGACAGTGTAAATCTCTCAATGTAAAAAATGCTGGAGACCATTGAAGGTGTCAGCGTGAGTCTTCCTTGCAAATCTCTCTTCATTAAAGTTTTATAAGGAGCCAAGTGTGTTGTAATAAAATCGCTATTAATGGAGTTGTATTTGTGATGATTCCTCTTTTGTGCAGCTGAATTTAACTTTTCAAACACTAGACTCCACATCAGAGCTTTTTCACGGTAGCTGCTGCATGCACAGAAGCTTGTTTTGTCACATTTACCTTGAAACCAGAAGTGGGAACTAAGGTAGGAAAAGTTAACGAAGACTGGCAAGAAAACTGTTAATATCACCAGTATCAAACCAAAAATTCATGCTGTGATATAAATACAGCTACGATTCTGTTTATTTCAAGTATTTATAGCAGGCTGGCCAGGGACAAACTCATTCCCTCTACAGTTCCAAAACACACTTTTAAAAAGATGGTGAGTGTCACTTCATTAACCACGTGAAATAGGCTGACACAGCCTGCTTGCTTTTCCAGCCCCCATTTCAGATGGCATTTTTCTTTGCATCTCCCCGCTGCTTTACATTCAACACTCCCTAAAGTGCTTTCTTGAACCTCTCCAGCCAGAGCAGCACGGTGGAGGACAGGGTCGGGCTGGAGGCGAGCAGCCCTGGGGAGGATACAGCAATCATTTCCAGGCCCAGACTACCTGTTTGCATGTCCCTGCATTACAGATCCAGCTTTTCTCATCAGTCATCGACGAAGGGGATTTAAAAAGTTCCCCATCATCCTTTCTTTGTCTTCCAGTCCTCTGCACCATCGGGCTCTGGTAGGACTAGTTCCTCTGCAGTGACATTGCGTCTCTGAAGCGATCCGGGATGAAAGCATCCTTCTGTATTTCGATTTCTGGAAAGGTGCCTGTAATCCAGGCGATCCCGGTGACGCAGAGGCGGTTGCACTCCCAGCAGCCGTCCTGCCCAGCGAGGGCTGGGGAACGAGGGAGTCGGGCACAATTCCGTGTATCACCTAACTCCATCCTCCCAACATACATCAATAAACTACTCACACGCAACCCTCCAGGGCTTACACACTCCTCTCTCATTCCCTGTGTTCTTTTAAACAGCTTCCCACCTCCATTTATACATCAAGCAAAGGACTTATCAGAGACCTCGTCTCCCTAATGAGTTAAAAGCTGATGCTTCAGCCCAAAATCTTCCTAGTCCCACATGGCTTCCTCCTCTTTCCTACTGCGTTATCACTACCACTCTGTCTTCACCAGAGAGCTTCCTGCCTCACACACAGCTGCTGCTGGAAAGGATGGGAAAAATCTCCTTTTTTAAAGAAAAATCCCTGCTAAGAACATCACTACTTCTCTCTATGGCTTGTTCAGAGGTGGAGCTGCTGGTAACAGATTAGGGCAGCCAGAAGAAACGAAAAAAAAGTATCAAAGGGCGCTCTGCCAGGGAGCACAGGAAGATTTTGGTAAATTAAGTACTCGGTAACAAAAAAAAAAAAGAAAGAAACTGTGATAAAAGATGTCAGGGAGGAGAGACATGGTGCATGGTGTGAATTTTAAGGTTTATGAACAACGCTGAAAGGCAGAAGCTAGAAAATGTAATGAAAGAGGATGCATTTGCCTCAGAGGCTACAAGGGCTTTTTAAAACTCAAGATGCTCTCGGAGCACAGCGATAGCTGCAGCCTCCCCAGCAGAACGCATCGCACCGGGACTGCACATGGGCTGCTCCTGCAACAGCCACACAGTGTTCCCCGTGTACGTCGAGACGTCAGATCCACTCCTCTGTGGGCATAACTGTGGTTACCTACAGTGCTACATCCTCTGTTGATTAGTCATCTTCGTTGTTTTCCACTCCTTAACCAACTTAGCGCAGCAAAAAGTAATAGCGTCAGCCTGGTCTTTTCAGCTCAGATCCATCGCTCCATCTCTTTGCAGCCTCCCCAGACCTTACCTGGATTTCATCGAACTAGTTGTGCACGTTGTTGCTTTGCTGCCACGTGCACAATGCTCACAGACGGGCTCTGCTCATTCTTTCGTGCTACTCTACAAGCTGGTTGTGTGCTGCAAACACTCCCAAGCCCATCCACGCCACACCAGGGGCACCTGGGACACCCCAACCATACTGACTTAAACACGTCGAAGCTCCCTTGTTCCTTCTCTTCCCAGCCCTCCCCATCAGAGACTGTTTCTCCCACATCTCAAAAACAACTGAGGCTCCAAGGGGCCTCATTCCT